AACTAACCTGAATTATCAAGTTGAATTTTCAAGTTTTTCTGTTTTATAGCAACATATTCCCTTTAATATATTTTAAAGGGCACACATCCTTGCATTCTTCTGACGTACTGGAAGTTCTCATGGCAGTTTTCCCTTCAGAAAATATTTTGCCTTGCATCACCCACCTGCCTACTGTTATTCTGTGACCATTCTGGTTCTTGTTTTATTTGAACACATAAATTAACCCTACTTCTTCATTATTTAAGAAAGAAAATTATCTCTTCGTGCAGTATTACCTCTTCATCAGAGCAGGTTCTCATTACCTCCCACAAACTCTTATTCACATTCACCAGCAGTTGATCCTGGACATCTGCATAAGGTTTTAACCTGCAATGCAGAAAAAAAAATTTGAAAGACTTGTTGCAACTGCACCGAGCAGATAAAGAAGCACGTTGATATTTATACAATTCATTCCCCTTTTCTAATGAAAACATAGAAATGTCAATATTTTCATTTAGCTGGGTCTCACATTTTAGAGACTCTCTAAAGCCTTGATTAACAAGGGCCATGTTTGTTAAGTGGTTGTTAAGCTCCAGCACATAACACCAAGCTCCTTTCCTGCATTTTTTTTGTTGAGGGCAGGTCTGAACAGGAAGTGGAAAGCTCAAGAGCCAAAGAAATAGGAAGTGGTGCTAAAGAGGTCAGGAAAAATCTTATTGCTGATTTTGAATTTTATCATAAAACCTGATTTTGCACATAAATTGTAAAAGGCATAGTGAATCAGACCAGAAGTGTCCTTCAGGTAAGAAAAGAAATCATGATTAACTGTATTTCAATCTAATAAACACTGGAAAACTGGAATGAACAACAGACTGTAACCTGTCACGATTGTGCTTTGTATGTTTCATCATTTTTGATACAATTTGAAAAGTTTTACTCTAACTCTTCTGATATGCAACTGAAACGCTCTATTAGTAAAAGATAAATTACCTGAGGGGGAAAAAAAATAAATCAAACTTTAATTATCTCCATAACTCCAACTCCTCCCCAAGAGTTAGCTCTACACCATCTAAATCTATAATGAACTGGCTAACAGAATAAATTAACTATCATTTTTTATTTTTCCCATATGTAATACATGAACTTTCTTCCAGCCACTTTGCATGCAACGTGAGCTGAACAACAAAATGACTAACACACTGTGGGACAGAAAAAACACTCACTCCTCTATCATCTGAGACAGGGCCTGGCAGTCCTCTTCGTAAATACGCAGCTTGGGCCGGTAAATGTACTGGCTGTAAAGGAGCTCTTCTGCAGTAGGTGGTGCACTGGCTGCACACTGGGGAAAACCAGAGGGAAACATGGTGAGAAAAAGGAAAAAAAAAAAAAAGCATGTTTTTCAGAAACAGCAACTTCCAATCAATTTCTGTACAGAAACCAGCAGAAGGCCTGTTCTGCAGAACAGGAAAAAAAACCCAAACAAACCCTAATGGAGGCAGCCTGACATACTTCAATCACTGTTTGCATTCTGGACTTGTCCTGTTTCACTCTGAGACAAGTTAGTCAGAGCTCATTCCAGTTTTATGCCCCATGTGTCCTCACATTTGAGCATGGACTTCCTTTTGGGACATACGCCTCATCGCTAGAGCTCCAAAAAAATAAAAAAAAATTGAAAGAGGTTAAATTCCTTTCAGACAAAGACTTGGAAAACGAGACTAAAACAAGACAGCTGTGCGTGACTCAGAATCAAAGTTCCCAATTTTCAACAAGCCTTAGGCACATCAAATAAACACGACGGGCGTATTTCAGCAAGCCACCTGTAGAGTGAAGCACCTCAGAGGTGGTGGTGGTGGTTTTTTTATCAGAGATCAGTCACTGATGAATAGTACCAG